ATGTCTATTTCTTAATTATTGTACATTTTTTAAGATATAAGCTTCATTCCGATGTTACACTCATCTAAGAGTCTTTACATTTGAGTACCCACATCAATTTTTACTATATATTTTTCATATATACATATATATATATATATGATAAATATATGAAAAATTGATGTGGGTATTCAAATAAAAGGTCTTGAAGAGTCTAATGTCGGGGTGAGCTTATCTCTTTAAAAATATCAATAGTTCACAAGATCCAAGGTCACTTCGTAATTATTGACATTTTTAAAGATATAAGCTCATCCCGATGTTACACTCATCAAGAGCTTTCATTTGAGTACCCACATGCATTTTTGATATATTTTTCATATATACATATATAGTATATATAAAATATATAAATACTAATTAATCAGTACTAAAAATAAAAATAAAAAATTAATAAAATTCATAAGAAAGAATTTTTACAATTAAATTGATACACTTATCATATTTATAAATTTAATAACTCCAATTAACAAATATAACATAAATAAATAAATTAATTAATTAATGACCTTAATTAATTAAAACTTAAAGCCTACTTATAAAAATCAATAGCTCAAAGAATTTCATCTGCAATATAAAGTAATAAAGGAATAAAAATAAAGATAAAAAGTACTATTACAAATTCTTTTTCCTTTTATAAAATCTCCGTAGTGACCTTGACCTACTGCGTACAAATAAAGAGCTTAATCCGTTGATAAATTACAATAGAAATAAAAAGTTAATTTTATTTTTATCTTAATCAAAGCTCAGTAAATTTTTTTATAAATTAATTTCTTTTTTTTTATTTTTTTATTTTAGATCAAGAAGAAAACGTGATCTTCCGAGTGTGGGACAACCCTTAATACCAGCGAACGGCGATGCGGAAAAATTGCACATTTATGGCCTGAGATTGGAAGGTGAACAAGAAGAGCAAGAGTTTGCTAACGGCGTGCCGAAAGTTGTCGGCGAAACTTTAGTTACGATACGTATTTTCGGTTCTGGGATTACTACTGATACTGTTATCAGTTTTACTGATATACCACAAAATCGTGGTGAGATTTGCGACAAGATTAAGTCACAAGAATTTATTGTAAGTTTGATAATCGATATCTCTTAAACTCATCTCACGCTTTATTTTTTTTTATTTAAGCTAATTTTAATTAAGGAGAGCCAGGTATCCTCCTAGTGTAAAGAATGTCTATAAAAAAATAATAGAAATACTTTTGGTATCTTAAAATTAATTTTTAAATTAATTAATAACATTTTTGAGGAAATTTCCGATAAATTTACTCATTAAATAATTATTAACATTTAATTGACTAATAAAAAATCTAGCGCTCTGAATTACCGGTATACACTTGACAACACCGCAAGAGTGTCCCTAACCTTAGAATTTATTTATGTTTACTGTCTAACTAAAATGACTAAGATGTTCTAGCATTTAAAAAACCGCGGTTACTTATGCGCATGGGTAACTGCGCAAGCGGTGTTGCCAAGTCAAATACAAGACTTTAAAGAGCGCAAGTGTCCGAGTGATTTTTCATAAAAAATATAAAATATCTCCGTAATACGTTCGGAAAGCTAATTTTTTTATTGTTTTAATCTTTAGCTTATTATTTTTTCAATCAAATTCAATGAAAATAAAATTTTTTTTAAATCGTTAATTGCATTAAATTCTTAACCAAGTACACGGCTGGTGGAATCTCCATTTACCTACATGTAAAAATTACAATTTTCAAACCTAATTATTTGATTAAATATCCCAGAAACCTACTGTTTTTTAATTTTTTTTATTAATTGTTAGACTATGTAAATTGAATTTACAAATTTTCAGAAAGTTTCAAAAATTTGACTAATAAAAATGAATTTTTATAGTCTATATAAATTTTTTTAAATTATTGTATTAAGTAATTAATTATTTTTAAATTTTATAGGTGGAAAAAGTCGACAATTTCACGGCAATTATATCAGGAATGCTTCCTTTGGGTTCACCATTTTACATTTGCGCCAAAAGTATGTCCTCTGGTAGTGTTAATTTATTCTATCATCAAGGAACAGAAGTTTATAAACAAGTACGTAAATTTAAATAAAAATTAATTTTTTTTTTAATAAAAATTTCTGAAATGAATATTAAAAAAAAATAATCTAATTATAAGACAATCTGAACTAATCAAACGATCAAAAGAATTTAATAAACTTCTAGCTAAAATTGATCAATTTTATATTCTTTTAATTTATAAAAATTCTGTATTGAAATTTTTTTAAAATCATTCTTAATTATTTTTATTTATAAATTGTAATTAAGAGACACGGTAGATTTCAGAGATGAATATTTTTAAAAAAATCTACCTAAAGAGGATTTGTGATATATGAAAGTTATTTTACGATAAAATCCAAAAATTAATTTATTTTTTATTTTCCGAACTACGAAATAAATTTAAAAAAATATCAAAAGTCCAGGAATAATTTAAATAGAAGATAATTATGTGAACTTTAACATAAATTTAATAGATTTAAGCTATCTTTTACGGCTGATAAATTTTTTAAAGAAAAACGCCCGAAATACATTAATTGAAAAATTTTTTCAAATTTTTAAAATTACGGAATTAATTTAAAAAATCATCAAAATTAGACAAACAATAGCTTAAATTGAAGGTAATTATGTGAACTTTAAGATAAATTTAATAGATTTAATCAATCTTTAACATCTGGAAAATAATTTCCATAAAATTGACGAAATAAAAAATTTTTTGAAAATGAAAAAAATTTTCAAACACCCACAACTCGTAAACCAACCGGCGGATTTAGCTCATCTTCAAACTAGATCTTGGTATTGATTCATAAAATAACTCCACAAAATTTCATAAAGATCGGTTAAGAACTGTCGACGCAATCTTGCTTACATGCCGCGTTATATCACACTTATGCACATAAACTTTTGAGCCAACGCTATTTTTCGGCGTAACTCCACGAAATAAAATATATTATGACAAAATTTTCTTAAAATTGCTACACAAGACCGGCTACAATAGCTACTCAGAAAAAAAGGTTCATTTGAGCTAAGAAAATATTTTTCTTCCTAATTATTTTCAAGAAATTTTTCTTTCTGTGTAAATTTCTAAAAAAATTTTATTTTACTTTCAGATCATCTCGTACCAAAAAACTTTACCGCTGTGGCTTCAAATAATAGTTATATTAACTTGTTTATCATTCTCGGCATTGTTCTCCGGTCTTAATCTTGGATTAATGTCTATGGACCGGACAGAATTGAAAATTTTATGCAACACTGGGACTGAAAAAGAACGAGAGTACGCACGTACTATCCAGCCGGTGCGAAATTATGGAAATTATCTTCTCTGTTCAATTTTATTTTCAAACGTACTTGTCAATTCTATTTTTACGATCCTTCTGGATGATTTAACCTCCGGCACAGTCACTGTTATCGGCGCTACATTGGCAATTGTTATTTTTGGCGAGATCTCACCGCAAGTATGATTTTTTTTTTTTTTTTTTTTTTTAATATTAAATTTATTTTAATTTAAATTACGCAATTTTTTTTATTATTCAATTATTTAAACTTCAAATATTACAATAAATTTAAAACGTTTTTTTAAATTAAAATTTAATGATATTTATTTATTTTTTTAGGCATTTTGTAGTCGACACGGCCTATGTGTTGGTGCGAAAACAATCTTAATAACAAAGATAACAATGGTTATAACATATCCGCTCAGTTATCCGATAAGTAAATTTTTGGACTATATGCTGGGAGAAGAAATAGGAAATGTTTACAATCGCGAGCGGCTCAAAGAACTTGTTAAAGTAAGTCCTATGTTTTACAATTTAGTATTTTTATATAAATTAAAAATAATAAATTAAATATGATTGAGAATTGACCTTGTATTTTGTGAACCATTGATATTTTTAAAGATATAAGCTCATCTCGATGTTACACTCGTCGAGACCTTTCATTTGAGTACCCATATCAATTTTTCATATATTTATATATATTATATATATGTATATATGAAAAATATATGAAAATGCATGTGGGTACTCAAATGAAAGCTTTTGATAAGTGTAACATCAGGATGAGCTTATATCTTTAAAAATGTCAATAATTAAGAAATGACCCTGTATCTTGTGAACTATTGACATTTTTAAAGATCTAAGCTCACCCTGACATTATACTCTTCGAGACCTTTCATTTGAGTACCCACATCAATTTTTCATATATTTTATATATTTATATATTTCACAAATACTATATATATGAAAAATATATCAAAAATGCATGTGGGTACTCAAATGAAAGCTCTTGATGAGTGTAACATCGAAATGAGCTTATATCTTTAAAAATGTCAATAATTAAGAAATGACCTTCTATCTCGTGAACTATTGACATTTTTAAAGATATAAACTCACTCTGACATTATACTCATCGAGACCTTCCATTTGAGTACCCACATCAATTTTTCATATATTTATATATATTATATATATATGTATATATGAAAAATATATGAAAATGCAAGTGGGTATTCAAATGAAAGCTCTTGATGAGTGTAACATCAGGATGAGCTTATATCTTTATAAACGTCAATAGTTAAGAAAATACAGTGCAATTTAACTAAAGTCACTATTTAATAAAGTAAAATCACGAAATATCATGTAAAAAATTATAAACTCTATAATTTATAATTTAATATTGAAAAAAAGTTATTTCTATCTTACTAATATATTTAATAACGACTCTCACTCTTTAAAGTTCATCCTTTCAAACAGCAAAAATTCCCATTTTAATTAATATGTATTTTATAATATCAAATCAAGTGACTTGTGATAAATAATATATTAAATAACAACTCTAACTACTTTAATTTAACAGTTCAAAATAGTTAGAATGGCTACTTAGATATGCATAGTTAAACTTTCGAAGGGAGAAAGGAGAGAAGGTGACAATCACCCGTTAAATTTAACAAAGTCAAACAGTAAAAATCCTCCACTTTAAATATATTTTTTACCAGTCAAAGCAAATCAATAATTATAGATTTGTTTTTATCGTTGCGTTTAAAATTTACTATTTTACCTTGCAAATGTTGACGTTGGTTACATAAAAATCTAAAAGTTTTCCTATAGTAGTTTTAGTAACCATTTTTAATATTTTTTCCATATTACACGATAATCTTTTACACGCAAAATGATAAACATTAAAGTTGTAATTGTTAATTATTATACTTAAACTTTTTGGACATTTACATAGCTGTTATTACTGTTTTAAATGCTATTTTTTTTCTATATAATTATTAAATTGTAGCATGCGAATAATAAATATCACAAATTAACTATTAAAATCACAATTATTAAGAATTATCAAAAGAATTTATTAGAAATATTATTATTATTATTATTATTATTATTATTATTATTATTATTATTATTAATATTTTATTATGTCATAAAAAATATTAAAAATTATTTACTGTATCGATTTAACTTCATTGGATGTTTTTATCGGATTAAATAACGGAAATGAATCTACCAGTAGCCAAAATAATAATAATAATAATAATAATTACTAAGTCAAATTAAATATGACACGCAACTAAAATGCGTGTTATTTTTATTTCGACGAAAGATCACGATTAAATTTGAAATTTAATTCTTTTAACTTGGAATTAATTTTTTTTTTACTAGTCATGCAATGCCATCCGGTGAAAATAAATCAATAAATAAATTTTGATTATTTTTTTTTTTTTTTCAATAAATATTAATCTAACTTAGAAGAATTTCAATATTTTTTTCTAATTTATCTATTTATACTGATGATTATTATTATTTTTTTTCCAGGTAACAACTGGTTACAATGATTTAGAAAAAGATGAGGTGAACATAATAGCCGGTGCCTTGGAATTGAGGAAAAAAACAGTCGCTGATGTGATGACACGTATTGAAGATGTCTATATGCTTGATTATAATGCGGTCCTTGATTTTGAAACTGTTTCTGAAATTATGAAATCAGGTTATTATCTATATTATTATGATAAATATTTAAGCTGCATTTGAAAATACTCTATCTCTAGATACATAATTAAGAAATGACCTTGTATCTTGTGAACTATTGACATTTTTAAAGATATAAGGTCATCCTGAGGTTACACTCATCGAGACCTTTCATTTGAGCACCCACATCAATTTTTCATATATTTTATATATTTATATATATATGTATATATGAAAAATATATCAAAAATGCATGTGGGTACTCAAATGAAAGCACTTGATGAGTGTAACATTAAAATGAGTTAATATCTTAAAAAATGTCATTAATTAAAGAATTACATTTTATCTTGTGAACTATTGACATTTTTAAATTAATAAGCTCACCCCGACATTACACTTATTGAGACCTTTCATTTGAGCACCCACATCAATTTTTCATATATTTTTATATATTATATATTATTATATACATGTATATATGAAAAATATATCAAAAATGCAAGTGGGTACTCAAATGGAAGCTCTTCATGAGTGTAACATCGGGATGAGCTTATATATCTTTAAAAACATCAATAATTAA